GAGTTGTATGTTTATGTAGAGCTTTGATTTAAAGATCACATTTTATGAAATACACGGGTTTTGTATTAGAATTTGTTAAATTAATGTAATACTATAATTAGCTTTTATTTGTATAAAAGGTGTCAATATATTTAGTCCGTAAAAGTGAAAAAGCTCAGTGTTTTTTATATTCTAACTGGGAATTGCCTGCATGGTAAAGGTGGAGTAACACTACTAATTTGGGGAGGAAGGCATGTTTTCACTAAATTAATGTTGTGAAGTAACCTCATTAGTAACGCAGCTAAAACTTCTTTGGACCATGACTGCTGGTGTCCTGATGCTGGCAAGGTAAGTTGGTCTGTGGCTCGCTGCTGTGGTAGTGGCAACAACTGAAAGGCAGGATACAGCCTAAATACCCGAGTTCCCTCGCTTCTGGAGTTTGCACCCCTGAAGCCCAGCGCTCTGCTTCCCACAGAGAGACCTCCGCCAGATCCTGAGGTGGGGAACACATGAGCAGTTGAAGGCTTTATGCTTACTTGTAGCGGAACGGCTTTCTCCAGCAAGGTACTTGGCTGGCCTCTCCTGAGGAGGTCTGTGTCTTGTTGCATAGACTTCAAAAACTCCTTCATAGATGCAACACGGTGTCATAACAGTTATCAAAATGTTCAAGGATAAGAAAAACACCTGAAAGCAGTTGTCTCTCTTCCAGTGATGGTCGGCAGTTTTTATACATCAAATGAACTACAGCATCCTGATCTCAAATAATCCAGCTATAAAACAAACTCCCCAGGCAAGCCTACATTCTAAGTAGCTTCAGGAAAAGCTACAGTGCTCCTTTTCAGCAAATCTTGTACAATTCTTATTTTGCCTTGTACACATGTTGGAAAAAATAATAATAAAAAAAAAAATCCATGACAGTAGTAGTAATGAGTACCACAGATTGCCATGAAGTTCACTAGAAACATGAACACGGGTGTCTTATAGCTGTATAAAATAATTTTCCCTGTGTTCACCTTTATTTCTTGTTTTCAGAAGTAGATAGTCCACCGTTGGCTTGGTTGTCCAGTTTTGGGTAGGAGTTGTTCATGTGTGCAGTGCCAAATCTCACCTCTGATCACAAGTGCTACACCACTGTGGTTTTTGGGTTTGGATATAAAATTACTCTTGAAAGCTGTTGATGCCAAACAGCTGGGGTAATCCTGGCCAGCTGTGCTAGCTTACAGGGAGAAATTGTATCAAAAGTCACAAGGCGAGTGATTTAAGAGCAGATGTTTACATTAGCTCTGTGATTTCCTGTGGTTTACCCAAAGCTATGGACTTGTGCATTTCAGTAGTTTGGGTTTTTTTTTCTTTTTGGAGGGATTTTTAGTCAGAAACTTTCACTGATACTATGCAAACTGATCTAACTACACAGGCATAAAAATTAGCTAGATCTACTCTAATTGCTGTTTGATGTGCACCAAACTAATTTCCCGTGAATTTAAAGCAGGGTTCATCTGGGCCTCTATATTTGGAGTAGGCCTGACTACAACCTAAACTTTGTGGTGTTACTTCAGAGAGATCTGTCTTGATCTTTGGCTGGCCTGGGTGGTTGCACGTGGAATGGTAAAAGTAAGTTCTGCTGCTTGACCTAAAACTGGAGCACTGGTTTAATGAGGAAATTTGTGAAACCTTAAAGGGACTCAGAACTTCAGTGTCTGTAGTTCAGACTACAAACTGTAAATTAACTTTCCTAAAATACAGATGCTGTAGAAACAATTTCCTTAGAGATATGATTGAAGTTTAATAGTATCAAAACTAGGACAGGGAAACCACAGTTAACCTTGGATGTTCTGTACGTTCATCTGTTCATTCTTTTCATGAGGTTTCTCTTGCAGGATCACATCCACTGCTGGCCGTTGCAGTTCACATGCTTTGAAACAGAGGCCGTGGCGTGCTTTCTGCTCTATCTTCCACCTGTGCTTTAAGCACAACATGACATAGGATTCTTTACATTCTAGCCGTTTATCCTACACTGAAAATACCATGGTCTGGTAAGGTCGTTTTTCACACTACGATATTCCTAATTCGCCATTGGTTGGTGGGCTTTTTTTTAATGCTTTAGACTTACAATGGAGTCTAAATTGTAAGTGGAAGAACAGAAGTCAGCTCTGCTTTTCAAGTTATTCCCTAGTTGTGGTGACTTCAAACCCAGAAGCACCTCAACATCACTGACACCATCCTGTTATTGTACTGAAGGCGGCAGCTCTCCTAATCCAGAACATCTCTGAGTCGGGGGGAGGCAGGAAACATTTGTACCAGCTGTTGTCATTGCATGGCCCTTCAGAGAACAGGAGCTGCATGCCCTGTTTGACCTTGATGTATGACAAGCCAGGAACTGCCTTGTTTGAGAACCCTCCTGGAGTGAAGTGTGGGTTACAGCCCTGAGCAGCTCAGGGGTATGAAAATTAAGCAGCTTTGCACAAGCCCACTGTGCAGACCGAAATTTACTCTCCTCTGATTTGCAACTAATACATGGTAGGATGTAACTCTTCTTCCTTGAAGCGGCTCCCTGTACCATCCAGAGTATTAGGATTAGAGTAAAACATGCTAACTTAAGCAGATTGTATAGATTAAATTGGAAAGGGGCTGGGGTTTAGTTTCAGAAAGTCCAGGATATTATAAACTTGTACTGACAGAACTATGAAGTTACATTTCCCACAGCCATGAAAAGCGAGGACTTCTTTCATCGAGACTTCCATTGGTTTTGATCAAGTTCTTCAATAATCATGAAGGATTTACCTCTGTAACCAGTCAGCTATGTCAAGTTGTGGTATAATCTCTCTAGACATTACTAGTCCACAAACACCCATCGTTTCATTAGGAGCTGTGCCAGACTGCTTTGATGCATGGGATTCATCTACCCTTACCTGGGTATTTGAGGATTTGGCATTTCCAGTTGTGTGGCGCTCTTCTACATATCCCGACTGTTAGGGGAAAAGAATTACTTTGGTGTCTAGGCTCCCTAGATCCCGTATGAAGACAAAGTAGTACTGCACAGAGAAGGAAGAGCACTGTCAGGCTGAGCAGAGACCCTCTTTTTCCTGACTAGAAGAGAGAGAGCATGACCCACCCCACCATGGCATCTGCTTCAGGCTCCGAAAGGTCTCTCTAGCTGCATCGATGCTACAAGCTTTGTAGCAAATGCTAGAGAAGAAGCTTTGGGGGCTTCTACTGGCTTCGTTCTGTGATCCTATTTCCCTTACAGAGCTTGGGACGCTGGTTTTGAGGTTGGGGCTTTTTCCTGTGAAGATAAATGTGGACTCAACAGCATTGAGGGCTTCCAAGTCATAAAAACATGCATCAACAAAAATGCATCCTCAGTAGACAGGCTTGTTGCTCCCCTTATCTTCCCTAGTGCCTCCTGGATTACCTTCTTGGTGGGTAATCTAAAGAACCTGAAGCTCTGCTGGTTAAAGCACGGGCTTGTGACTTTGGCTTCAGTGATTCTTTCAAGTTGAGGTAGAAGATGAAGTTTCACATAACAGTGGAACTAATTAGCAGCTTTCCCCTGCAGAACAGAGGTGCTCTCATCACCTACTTCCTCTCACAATAGCTCTCATGCTCATGTCATTACATGATAATACAATTCAAGTAATTAATTTTAGTGACTTTTATAATACAAAGTCAATTTTCTGCTCTTACAATTTGAATCAAATCACTGTGTACTCCCATCTTTGGCTGGAGCAGGCTATTAATTCAGCTCCAACCCAATAAAACTGCAGAGTTGGGTTCCTCTGTTATTAACTACTTAGCTGTGATGTAGTAATAACCTCTGCAGGAGTGCTACTCATTCTGCAACTGGGTTAAAAAAAAAAAAAAAAAAAAAAAAGTGAGCTGTGTCCACTTGGAGATGATTATGATGCTGCAGGTGTATTTTTTTTTTGTGTGTGTGTGTATAGGCATCTCGCTGCTCTCCAGAAAGCCAGTGTTCCCTTGGCCTTGGTCAGTTGGGGTTAAAGGGAACCAGTTGCCAAGCTCCTCTAGGCGTAGCCAGGAACAGGACCAAAGGACACCGCAGCTGGCACAGCACCATGATTGCATGATTACTGCCAGTAAGAGGTTGCCATCGCTTTTTATAGGCAAATCTGTGACAAGCACTGATTTCTAACTGTGACTTCGACATTCTACAAGCTGCCATTGCTTCTTTCATATTAAGGACTGCTTTTTAGAAAAATGTAAAAGGAATATAAATGTGACTTCTATGAAACTGACCTAATCAAAGCCTCAAGTAGACTTTTAGACAGGAGACTGCCAGAACACTGCAGTTATGCATCAAAGCTGACAGGAAAACAGGTCCTTTCCCTTCTATCTGTGCTAGAAAACTCACGCACAAGTCTTAGGAAGAGCCATCTGTATTGTGCTTACAGTGCAGGTGAAGGAAACAAAGTGCTGACAAGATACCCCCCCATGCCACCTTCCAATAGATTCATTCACTGCCCCTTTCCACCCCTCTGCACACCTACTTCATGAACCAGAAGCATTCATAGGTCCCAGTTGTACAAACCAAAGAAATACAGAAACACTGATGTAAGGCACATGTTGAAGGAACTGGGCACATCTAGGCGCTCAGGTTTGTTAGCTCTAACACATGGACAGCTGAGTTGCTCAAACCAGAAGGTCCTTGTAACGCTTGTGTCCCATCTCTGTGGGTGGCCAGATACTATTTGTCACCACGTGGCCATGTATGTAGAGTGTGTCTGAGACCAGAGCAGGCAGGTGGTCTCCCATCCACCCTTTGGCACTGCACAGTTTCGCCAAGAGGAGCCACATCAGCCTACCTTCAGGCAGTAGGTGTCCACGGTTACACAGAAGGTGGCCACGTCAGAGACACTGAATCATTCATGAATGTATTGTGAAGGTAATAAGAAAAAAAAGGCATAGTCTTTCATGTGGTCTAGCAAAACCTTCCCAACACAACTTTTACAGCTAGCAGTGAAACATAGACACTTTAATAGCATCATGGTAGCGCTCCAAAATCCTTAAGGATATTCTGGCATAAGGGCAAGTTCAGTTCTTCAGTAAGCAGTTATACCCCGAAGGACATTTTGCTTCCAGTAGGTAAAGGGACCTCTTCATAAATTATTTTGAGATAAGGGAACTTCATAGGTAAAAACCAGTATTCCAAGTTATAGAAGAGGTAAAACTGACCATTCAAGATGACACGATCAATTATTTTAAAAAGATCCACAAAAAACTCTCCAACTGTCCGATGAGGTTTGAAGGGATAGTAGAAGTCTCTTATAGCTGCTGCCAATGTCTTGTTTCCTCGCGGTCCAAAAATAGATGTTTCATTTCCCAAATAAATCGGTTCTCCACTGAATAAAATTATGCTGGTATAGTTTGTTTGTATCTTCCTAAATACAGCCCCTAAGTCAGCTAGCTTCTGGTATGTTCTCAGTATAAATTTAGAGCATTCGTAAGAGTCAAACCACACTACTGATTGTTTGTCGGGACTTGCTTGAACTGTCCAGGTCTCATAGTAAATGCCAGTCTCATTGTCGTATTTTACCCATTTTGCCATTTCATTAAACATAGTTCCTGTAAGAGATAAAAATAAGTATTACAGAGACATGGTAACAAATACGTGACTCAAAATATTTTTCATCTATTTCAAGGTTCGCCTCCCTTCCCTGCAAAAGTTTACCTACAACATTACTTAGCCGTTAGCTGTACAAAGACACAAGGCTTAGGTTGGAGGGAGAAGTGATACCCCCACTGAATAAACTATATTTACATGTAAGTTATTTAAACTGTAATTTCTTTTTCTGCCCCATTTCCTGCTACTATGCCAGAACATCCAAACGTCAGGGAACCATGATACTTCTCGTTTTGTTTTATCCATGTAGACAAACAGGGCAGGTAGTACAATCTACAAGAGATTGCAACAGGCGTTTCTGCACTTCCTCAAGTTTTAACTAAATTCAGCGATCCGGAGCAGAAGTTTTCATGTCTCTCCACAAAAGAAACCTTAAACGGAGACAGCCTGTTGTTTGAGCAGCTCCTCAGCCAGCAAAGGTGAACTAAGCCAAACAATATGAGTGGGATGTGAAGACCAGTAAACTTAAAGACCTTGTGGATTTTTTTATTTAGAATACATGCTTGGAGCATTTTGGTGATTTCACAACTGGAATGAGGAAGACATCTCTAACTCAGGTCATCCCTCTGGTAGCTCCAGACATGTGATGCATCTGCCTCCCCAAAACAGAGCTGAAGCACAGTACTAATCATCGAATCATAGAATGGTTTAGGTTGGAAGGGACCTTAAATATCATCGAGTTCCAACCCCCCTGCCATAGGCAGGGACACCTCCCACTAGACCAGGTTGCCCAAGGCCACATCCAGCCTGGTCTTAAACACCTCCAGGGATGGAGCTTCCACAACTTCTCTGGGCAACCTGTTCCAGTGTCTTACCACTCTCTGAGTGAAAAATTTCTTCCTAATATCTAATCTAAATCTCCCCTCTTCCAGTTTGAAGCCATTCCCCCTCATCCTATCACTACATGCCCTTGTAAAAAGTCCCTCTCCAGCTTTCCTGTAGGCCCTCTTTAGGTACTGGAAGGCCATAATAAGGTCTCCATGGAGCTTTCTCTTCTCCACGCTGAATCTTCCTTCTTTTGTTTTTTTTTGTTTGTTTGTTTGGTTGGTTGGTTGGTTTTTTTCCTTAATCTTAGCACTGCACCTCAGCCTAGCCCTTCCTGCCCTCTCTTTCCACAGGCCACAGGGTACAACTATCTATGACTCAAATCTGTCTAGCACCCTGCATTCATAGCACGGTCAAATTTTGCACGTTCTTTTTGTGTGATACGTCAGAAGACAGAGTCAGATGACAACTTGCAATTGTGACAGCATTCCAAGCCATGACCTCTCTTTAGCTGCAAGCATCCCTGCTGTGGACACAGTAATTGGGCTTGGTAGCTGCCAAAAGATAGGCAAGACTGTTGCAAGCAGTTACCTCACAGTTCAGGGGTGGCAGACATCAGACAGATCTATGTCACTAACACCACTGCGCACACAACAACCAGCCTCTCACATTAAGTCTAAATTCACTGCAGTGTTGCCTTCAAGACCAACGAAGAGCACTGCACACCACACATCTCCCTCCAAAACAAGCTGCAAAGGTCAGATTGCTGGGTCTACTCTTCATCAGACAGTAAACAAATCTCACACTTACCCTAAGGTAAGGCACGTGTGCAAGCTACTACCTCAGAGTAACTAAAGCTCTGCACATTCACCTCCTAGGCTACCCTATTATAACTGTTCTTCACACTTCAGAGCTTTTGGGCTTCACAGTAAACATTAATAATCATTCTGCTCAGTGAATGTGTTGGATACGTTCTTTTTTAATTGCCCATGACTTGGGTTAATAAACCAGCAAGTCATTTAAATCTGTATCAAGAACTGTACTTACTATACACTGTGGATGGGCTTGAAGCTCCCCTTTATCTTCTCCAATTTCTACCAGATTAGCTTCTTAGTGTGTATTCTGCAAGGCACATTATTAAAAAGGATTTTTCCTAACAAGACCGAGATGTACTTAATATGAAGTTCTGGCCTTAACATCTTAAATTAAACAAAAATATTACAGGTTAATGCATGGTTCCATGATAATCTGTTGGAAGATGCCCAGACAGTCAAAAATCACACTTTGGATATTCCTGCTCTATTTCCACAAAAGAAACATGCCCTTAAGTAATATTAACCTGGCTGATGGGCTTCAAAAGAAAATTAAAATGCCTCAGTGTGATCTCTTACACTGCTGACAAACAGCTCCACAGGATCTTGCTAGGGCAAAGAGGGTGCAGCTGTCTCCTGCGTTAAAGCCCTCTCCTGTGAGATGGGATGCTTTTTGCCTGCTCTCTGAAGAAAGCAAGTTCAGCTCAGGACGCTGTCCATCTGCACTTGCATCCATTCACTCTCTTCCATGGGAACTTTCAGATTCCTAGTCAAATTCAGACAATTCAAAACTCTCACAGATGCTACCTTCTGGAAACAGAAAGCAAGAGGGACAAGGAGGACCTAACACTGCCTCCGCAAGGCACTAGCATAACCTCACCCTTCTTAGGCACCAAATAATTCACATGGGCAGGAAGCATTACAAGTTCCACAACCGTATGAAAATATTTAACTTGTTATTCATACAAGAGAATCCAACCATATCAGGCATCAAAGACTTCAGTCATGAGCTATAAACTCATACGAAAGCAGCTCGGCTTACTTCATTGCTTAAAGAATAGCCTAGAATTTCTTAGCAGCACTGGATAGGTTATCTACAGACCGAGTCCAGCAAAGCCGCTAAAGGTGGAAGCGGGCAAACATAAAGCATCACATCACACAAGCTGTAACTGACTCCCCATTGTGCCTTGTATGAGTAAGTGGATTTAGTCACACAAAATGCAATTCTCCAAGTCCTCAGAGGACTCTTTATAAATCATTCACTGTATTTCTAGTAATCAACCAGATTTATTTAAATGACCTTTTTGTTTTAGAATTTCAGTGTTCAGTATATACCAGGAAGCTATTCTGGTGATCATCCACATATTTATAGGTATAAATCCTGGGTTTGTTCTATGACACACAACAGAAGACTGGGGATATTTGCACAGTTTTTATAACACATAACGGGGGAGATGGAAATAGAAATTAATATTTTTGAGACTATTTCTAAATATGCCTTATTTGTTTGCTCAGTAATGTACGCATATTCACCAGTTTTTCTATCTCAGCAGTCATCTGCCACTTCACAATAGAAGGCTTTGTTTTGATGAAGCCATGTGAAAAGAGTCCATAATGGTTCTGTATAAGCTGTTTTGCTATTTTTACACTCAAGAGACTGAAGTGGTTTTGCACAGCAACACCAAATGACTCTCATTTAACAACTCTTCAGTGTGCGCTGTTCAGAAGGCAGCAGTCTCATACCATTTTCTGCATTAAAGAAAGCGCAGAGATAGTTATTTTTGTCTGAAATTAGCATCAGTGACTAACATTGCGATTAACCTACAAAACATAAATTAAAAGATGCTGCTTTACATGAAGAAAAGGCTGACTCTGCATTTTATGATATTAGCACCATCCAAAGCATCTGAAACCTACCTGATATTGTGGTCACGAGAACTAAAGTTCCATTTTCCTTCCAGTGTGCGTCATCTATTCCTTCATAAAAGCAGGCAGCTCCCTGGTTACACCAGAATGGTGCATCCATGCCAGGTCGGAGATGTGGAAATGTGCAGTTCCCAAGCTGAAAGAGCTCATACCACTCCATTGTGTAGTTTTTGCCTGTCAGAGAACTCTTGAAACCCACAGCATCATGCATAATTTTCTGGAAAAGCAGAAGAAAAGCCCCAAAAGCCAAAATTTTAACAAAAAAAAAGGACTTCAGCTTGACCTGTACAGAAGATAAGAGACTTGCGAGCTGTTGTGTAACAGGATGAGAAGAGGAGAAGGGGTTACTATAACATCTTGGATTCAGTAGCACTAATGGATAACATACTAGATTGTATCACGCACATACTGTTATCGCAGAGTCACACTGTCTTAGCGCTTGTATATCCATCCGTTGTAAATTATGTTATTTGGAGGCAGATATCCAGTGGGAGCTCACCATCAAAACTCAAGCTTACTTTTGAATGCTTAACCTCACAGGGGTATGAAAGAAATAAAGAGCAGAACTGAGTTACCAAAACCAGATCTTAGTAGGAAAGCCACAAAAGGAATGAGATAAATATTTATTTTAAAAGCTGTATAGTAAATAAATAAATTGAACCTTAGTTTAACAACTGAGATTATGATATTTCATGCTATTTCCACGTTTGACTCTGTGTGCTTGGTTTTGATGTTGCTATTTCATGTTCAGTAGTATTTCTTTATTCATTAGGGATCATGCTTTGAAGCTTAATTATGCTACTGCTATAGCTATAAATATTACTAGAGTTGAGACTCTTTCATATTTGCATGACTCCATGAATGGAGACTTTAATTCAATACTGATCGTAACATTAGAGACAACCCTAAAAGCAACCAACTCCCCACGATCCACCATTCTGACCAGCTTTCTGACAGATATCCATGTTCATGAAAATACAAAGGTTTTTAACAACAGAAAAGTTATTACACTAAGCGAGCATTTCATCTGACATAAGGGGACAAACAAATGTATTTTCCTGAGGCAGTGCTAATGCAGAAAAAAAGACACCCAAAATGTAATGGTGTGTTCATATAAAACACTCCCAATGCACAGCTCCATGCGGGAACACATTCAAACCCACCAGAAGTGCTGACCATGCTCTTTTCTTTAGCTGAATTAAATTCTGTAACTTTTATTCGAAACATACAGCTCCTTGGGTATCCTCCCTATAGGTAGCCTAGCTTGTGTGTTCCAGTATTCTTCCATACAAGCATATCCCAGCCTTACAGCTCCCATTCTTGACAACTGCTGTTGAGTTCAGCTGAATTTGCCACTATAACCTCGTTAAACAAAAACGCCACTTTACCAAATGTCCTAGTAGGTCCCCATATTTGAATTCCCATACTGGAGTCTGTAATCGATACACTTCAATGACATCCTCTTCTTTCATAACTGGAATGTCAGAGCCAGTGGGACAGAAGGTGTAACGAGCTTGGCAGTAAGGATCAGTTTTTGGACGGTAATCAAAGCGCCTGTGTTGAGAAAGAGAAGCACACAGAATGATAAGTACAGCTTCACAGCTGGACTAACTGCCTCATGGCTTCCTAAGGACCTCAGTGGGAGAGCTCAAGTGTGCAGCCACCCCCAAAGAGATAGATTCTGTGATCCAGACACTGCAACATGTGGAGTACGCAAGTTCATAAAGCTGCCAAGGTGCATGTCAGCAGACACAGGACTTACAGACTCGACACTTGCAAATGCCAGTCATGTTGTACACAGTGCTGATAGCTAAGGAGTGGGCATGACGCAGATTACAAAGGGTGACATACTCAACAAAATCAGAGACACACAGATGCTGCGTAGAGGATGGTTTGAGAGCTGCCTCAAAAACGTCCTCCTAGCAGTTTCTCTACACAGGGATTCACCAGTTTGCTCCAGGAAACTATTCTATAGTATTAGCTTCCCAGATGGAGTTGTTTTAACTCTAGAATATTACCAATATCAGAAAGAAATATTCTATTCCTCTATTAGATAAAGAAGCCTAAGAACCTACGATCACCATTTCCATTCATCATTCCTATTAAACCTCAAAAACTGAAGACCAAATCTGCTTACATATCGCACTATATACAAACAGCAAAAACCCTTCTGACAAGTCTTCCTTTCCCAATTTCCTTTAAATTCACTCACAGTATTTTACTTAAAACAAGGTTCCTATATTCCTGTTACCAAGACAGACTGGTGTACACAGCTTGCCCAGACCACAGCCCAAGAGTCTAAACACACTTAGTTGCCCAGGGCTATTGAATGGCACAAATACCACAGCTATGAGATGATTCAGGGACACAGGATTTCCTGAGCCATAGTAAGGCCAGTGGACTTCCCTGTGGACTACTTCTCTAAGTTTGCAGGGTACTTCACTATGTCTGCTTCTGTTTTGTCCAGGGGCAGGGGGAAGAAATAAAAAAAAAAAAAAAAAAAAAGAGTATGGCTGGAAAAAGAACATACAGAAAACAAAGACTTACAGCAGCCACATATTTAAGATCTGTTTCTAAACTCCACATCTTAAATTTTCAATTTCCACTGCACCTTGCATGTGACAAGAAGGTGACAAGCATGTTAAGATACATTAAAACAACACGTTTCTGAGCGTCTCACGCTGACAGGCTTGTACTCCCAATTTTGACCAACCCGAGACCCAGCTTTGCGACTACTGAACTTGCTGAAAAACCCTCAACGACCCGTGACTGCCAAGATAGGCTCCTTCAGGCGTCACCTGATACAAATTGAACTGCTAGGAATTACACAACAGGCTTTCAAAACTTCAGCCGCGCATTAGCCAGCAGTTAAACTATAACACCTCCCTTGACAAACAGCAAGCCCACACAAAACACAGAGGTATTTTGTGCAGAGCCTGAAGAGGCTCATTTCTCTCCCGAAGAGGCTCGTCTCCTCAGCGTAACCGAAGCCGCAGCTACTTGCTTCAGCAGAAGGTGGAAACACGCGCTCTTCTGCTTTCCCCACCAGCACCAGGCCTTCTTTGGGAACTGAGGTGGCAAACGGAACTTTATACCATTTCAACGAAAGTATGAAGTAAACCTAAATCTAAAAAATTAAAACAAATTGTAGCCTGACTTCCCCATTGCGGCTTCTATGCTAAAACAGGAATTAAAGGAGCATCTTTAGAGCAAGGGCCGCAGAGCCAGCGCAGCTGTAGGCCAGGGACAGGACACCCGTTCCCTCACACTTGTGAGGTAAAAACACCCAATACCGCATAAATGACACATACCCCCGTGATTAAAAAGGGGGAGCTACTCATAGTCTTTTTAGTCTGAAAATTAAACAAACAAACAAAACAAGCAGAAAGCTGACGGGCCGAGGAGGAGGAGGCGGAGGCGGCGGTTCGGCGCAGGCAGCCGGGCCCGGCCGGAACGCGCCTCTCCTCGGCTC